CAAACCACAAAAAAGACTACATACCAGTAACAGTACGTGGGCAGGACGAAGACAACACGACTACGGTGTTGGAGCAGGATGGCAAACATTCTGATGGGATCCAAGGGAAGGATAACTCCAGTTCCTCAGATCAAGGGTCCTTCACTATCAGCAAGGCAGCTCCTTGAAAGGAATGTCAACATGTGTATTAGGACCCAGGATCCGATTTTCTTCAAATAAAAAACTGGAAACCTCAATAAAATTTGGTTCTAAGACCTGTTACTCAAAAAAAAACGCAGTACTGGCATTTGTAATTACAGGTGATCCTCGACTAGCAAAAGTTTGACTTTATAATGTTGCAAAAGCAATTACTTCGCAGATAAAATTTATGATAATTACCCAGCATGATGGTGGCAAGTCTGTAATTTGTATACATTTTTTTTTTACTTTTGAATATTAGTATATATACAGTTAGTCACAGTAATTGTTTATTTACATATTCAGTAACAGTAGTCATTTACATACATATTTACTTAATTATTTAGCATATTCAGATTCCACGCATGACATTTTCGACTTACAATGGGTTCGTCGGAATGGAACCACGATGTAAGTCAGCAGGCACCTGTACAACAGTGAGGCAACTTTGACATACCTTTGGTGAGACACTGCAACAGATCTAAGTTGCCAGTGATCTTGAGGGTACCTAGACAGTGCTGGAAATGGGCCACCTTCCACAGGAGACTGAAAGGTCCTGAACTGCAGAGGAGTCTGCAAGTTGAGTGCCTCAACCACCACAATGCACAGGTACCCAGCAAAAGATACAGGAGTTGAATGCAAAGGATGGTCTAACTTGAGGGATCAAAGACCTGGATTACTTTTAGTGCACTGAGACTCCAACACTATGACAATGAGAGGTGAATATAACTCGTACACTTATTGTCACCATTACATTTCTATCCCTCAATAATTATTACCTAAAATTGTCAATACAGTATTATATTACCATGTCTTTAATACACAGAATTTTGTTACTTAAGATAATCATTATTTTTAATAATCTACAGAAAATTTAATTACATTAGACTTACCATTCGAACAATAATGTAAACAATACATTATTGGTGGCCCGGTGGTCTGGTGGCTAAAGCTCCCGCTTCACACACGGAGGGCCCGGGTTCGATTCCCGGCGGGTGGAAATTCCGACACGTTTCCTTACACCTATTGTCCTGTTCACCTAGCAGCAAATAGGTACCTGGGTGTTAGTCGACTGGTGTGGGTCGCATCCTGGGGGACAAGATTAAGGACCCCAATGGAAATAAGTTAGACAGTCCTCGATGACGCACTGACTTTCTTGGGTTATCCTGGGTGGCTAACCCTCCGGGGTTAAAAATCCGAACGAAATCTTATCTTATCTTATCTTACAACTATGACGTGTCAAGAAGTTTCAAATTCTAGTCTTAGTCAGCCCAAAATGCTCTGCAGAACCAGTGGCTTAGGGTAACCTGAAAATGAAAAATATTTCCATCATCGGTGTCTTGCCACAAGGATGCCTACAATACAGTTCAAAAACTGCAACATATCTCCATCCCTCCTTCAGAAATAAATGTTACCAAATTTTCTAACATTTACTGTAAATATATTTTGAAAATAATATTTGTGTTCACTTGTTTGCTGTTAAATATAACAGCAACATCCAGTAAGAATACTTGGAACAGTCAATAAGCAAAGAAAGTACCTCATATCCAGCTCCACATAGGCCAGAAGGTCTACTGCAGTTGGTAGCTCACACATTGAGGTCAGTGGTTCGATCCCCGGTATGGGTGGAAACATTGGTTGCATTTCCTTAAAGCACCTGCTGTCAGTGTTCACCTAGCTGCAAGTAGGTACTGGTGTGGGTCGCATCCTGGGGAAAAAATTATCCTAAGTTGCTCGAAATGCGCTGCATAACCAGGGGCTTCTACATAGTATGTCAGCTATGGTCTGTATAAGTTATACCTCCTATCCTCGTATAAGTTATACATCCTATCCTCACTTAGCAATGTACCTTTACTGACGAATCGACTTACAACAGGCTCTCTGACCAACATGCATACCTAAATAATGTATATTAGACCTGAGTTCCTCTATTCTGTTTCATACAGTATATTACTGCATAAACATTTAAAAATATACCAGAAATGTTATAAATGGTGCATAGGTGACATTAAAACAATATCAAAGATGGTCAACACAAACCCATTACCATTATAGTACAAGTTGACCATCAGTAATCCGGCACCAATTTTCGCTAGCATAATTTCAAATTTCATTATTGTACTGCCTCAAATCATTATACTGACTCCAATTCCATCATTATACTGATTCAGAAATTGTGCAGATGGTTGTAAATCCACAGCAGCAAGCCAGAGGAGAAAAAAGCAGTGATGAAAATGAGGAAGATGTAGCAGAAAGTGTCTCTATTGATAGGTTAATTAAGTGTATTCTAACCTAACTACTCTGTAATCTGGCAAACTCACTAATCCGGCACATTACATGTCCCAATGATGCCGGATTAGTGATGGCCAACCTGTACTATTCTCCTCACTTAGCGACAAATTTGTTTACTAACGGATTCCACTGTTAAGTCAGGAGAGGCTGTATAATGTACATACTTGTAGAAATATAGATTATTCTTATTATTATTATTACCTCATTATTATTATTACCTTATTATTATTATTACCTCATTATTATTATTACCTCTGTGTCCTTGTATTACAGTGGAACTTCTACTTGCGAATTTAATCTGTTCCACGACCTTGCTCGCAACTGGATTTGCTTGTTTGCAGAGTCAATTTTTCTCATTTTAATTAATTGAAATGCAATTAATCCATTCCAGTGGAATTCTGTACTTCAATAATTTCGCTAATATCAACTTTGCAGCTTATTTATCTATCTCACTTGATCTAATATGATGATAAATAACATAGAAACCTGATATATACTCTAAAATGAATAAAATATGTAACTCATGTAGTGGTGTCGGCGGTGAACGAGAGTTTGTCTGGAGACCCGACAAAATACTCCTTGAATATTTCGCTATCATCAACTCTACGGCTTATTTATCTATCAAAGTTCATCTAATATGAAATAATAAAGAATATAAATAACATAGAAACCTGATATATACTCTAGAAGGAATAAAATATGTCATTATGTAACAGGTGGAGGCGGCCACAACCGCTCCCTCTTTGTTGTGGTAAACACTGCCATCTAGTGACGGCCTTTTGAAGCTATTATTATAATTATTATGTAGTACATTATTATTATTATACATATGATATTATTATATACTATTATTATTACAATATAAATAATTTGTAATTTTTATTCACACAAAAAATATAGGATTTACTGTTATTCCTTATTACAATAATTGTATAAATAATGTCAACCCATTCACGACTGCATAGTGGTCCGGTGGCCCGGTGGTCTGGTGGCTAAAACTCCCGCTTCACACACGGAGGGCCCAGGTTCGATTCCCGGCGGGTGGAAACATTTCGACACGTTTCCTTACACCTGTTGTCCTGTTCACCTAGCAGCAAATAGGTACCTGGGTGTTAGTGGACTGGTGTGGGTGGCATCCTGGGGGACAACATTAAGGACCCCAATGAAAATAAGTTAGACAGTCCTCGATGACGCACTGACTTTCTTGGGTTATCCTGGGTGGCTAACCCTCCAGGGTTAAAAATCCGAACGAAATCTTATCTTATCTTATCTCTTGGAATAGACAGCAACATCATTTGTTTACTCTTGAACATAGCCAAGCAAATGAGTATTTCTCCCTCGTTCAGCTCAATTTCAAGGTACTTTTCATCGTGAAAGCATTAAAAATCATATCTATTTCTGTAATATATATTCCATTCTATCAATGAGACCAAAAAAACGAGAATACAACCATAAAAACCATACAAAAATACCGCGAAGGGACGGCTAATTGCTTAGAAGTGAACTCCATTATTTATGCTCCTATTTCTTTCATTTTTGGTGTACGTTAAGAAGCATCTTTCCATCATACATTGCCCAAGTTTCAATAGATAGTCCGACAAACAAATGAGATACAATTCCCTAGATCAAGAGCAAGAGTCCCTCACCAGTGTCAAGCAACTTCCCTTGACGTCTGCTCACTTACAGAAATTTTGCTCGTGTATGGAAGCAAAAAATGAACCCATCGACTGCTCGTATTTGGAAAAACTTGCACGTGGATGCACTTGCAAGTAGAGGTTCTACTGTATTTGTAATGGCTTGACAAAGCTCATGGAGAGCAAAACACTGCCACAATAAAATGTCATATTAGTTGCACATGTATCCTTTTACCTAAAATATTGTCAGTAATTCTATCATTATAGGTAGTAGGTTGGTAGACAGCAACCACCCAGGGAGGTACTACCGTCCTGCCAAGTGAGTGTAAAACGAAAGCCTGTAATTGTTTTGCATGATGGTAGGATTGCTGGTGTCTTTTGTCTGTCTCATAAACACGCAAGATTTCAGGTATGTCTTGCTACTTCTACTTACACTTAGGTCACACTACACAAACATGTACAAGCATATATATACACACCCCTCTTGGTTTTCTGCTATTTTCTTTCTAGTTCTTGTTCTTGTTTATTTCCTCTTACCTCCATGGGGAAGTGGAACAGAATTCTTCCTCCGTAAGCCATGCGTGTCGTAAGAGGCGACTAAAATGCCGGGAGCAAGGGGCTAGTAACCCCTTCTCCTGTATATATTACTAAATGTAAAAGGAGAAACTTTCGCTTTTCCTTTTGGGCCACCCCGCCTTGGTGGGATACGGCTGATGTGTTGAAAGAAAGAAAGAAAGAATTCTATCATATTCTCCAATTAAGGAAATTCAGCCATCATTGTATGGACACATCAATAGGTTGTGAGTGACCAAAAAAACATAAGGAAGAGGGAGAAACGACTGATGCTTTCCTAAAGGTTGGGTAAAATTACAAAAAGGAATGATGGTAACAATAGCAGTACAGTAATATGTTTATTACAGCAGCAAATTATATCTCTAGGGTATGGGATGGAGTAGTTAAATCTCCAGCTTCCTCCATAACACTTTCCTTGAGGCGGCACACAAAGGATCATACAGATAACCGTTGATTTAAAAGTAACATGGGGTAGTGGGTGGCTAGTGTGGCATATTGAGATGAGATTATTTTGCTGTAGTCATAACAAAAACAGTCAATTCTTCAACTGGCGCGCACTGTCCGTTTATTCCAAATTAAATGATCCAGCAGATTTTGTCCCGTATTTCCAACGTCCATTAAATCGAGGGTTTCTGTACATGCAAGACGCTACAATACGTATTTGGATTTCTGGGGGGCTGCTTGAGGGGTCTTACCAGTAAAATAAAACATAATTATAACATGGCCACATACATTTGTTCTTTGGATTTGTTAGGTCACTACTGAAGGTAGGGCTGGCATATTTTGTCTTATAAATATTATCAATATTTCTTTAATAACATTATCATTACAAGAGATATTGCTCACAGAAAATAAAGATAATGGATACCTAGAAATGAATATACTGTACTTGATACAGCGACTAACACAAATAAAATATAATATACTGGCTATCAATGACTTAAATAATCTTAATACACACTGCTCATGAGAATAAAGAAATTAAAGATACCCAGATGTTGCATATGTATTAAATTCTTTACGTTATTTCATGTCAAAGTTAGAAACCTCACTGGGGTCTTTTTCCAGTGTGGTTTTAAGTCACTTCGAACTTTCAAAGTAGCAGCGGGTGTCTAGCATAGATAAGGTTGCTACTCTTAATACAGTATGCCGTTTGTTAAGATCTTGGGTAACCTCACTTAACAGGCAATATTCACCAATGGTTGCTTACCTATATATTCGACATTAATGCCATGTAGTTAACATATAGTACACAAAGTGTCAATCTTTTTTTTTTACCATTTAAAAAGAAAAAAATATTAGAACACTCCAGTAGGCCCATGCTAGGCAGGTCCTTCTAACTCATATATTTGTCTAACCTACTTTTAGAGCTTACCAAAGTGATGCTATATACTTATCACTTTCTTTCACACATCTACAATTCTACTGCTAAACCAATTCTTTCCTACATACTTTCTAAATCTCATGTTATACAACTTGAATCCATTATTTCAAGTTTTTTCTTGGTCATAAATTTTCAGCACTATTTTTTTTTAACGCATCTGCTATCACCCATGAGGCTCAGTGACCCGGAAAAAAAGAGAGAAAATTTTTTCTTCTTTTAAAATATAGTAATTTATACAGGAAACGGGATTACTAGCCCCTTACTCTCAGCATTTTAGTTGCCTCTTATGACACATGACTTAGAGAAAGGATTCTTCTCCACTTTCCCATGAAGCAGTGCTCTATTTACATCCCCTTTATTTATGCCAGTCTTCCACTTGGACACCTAATATTCTTCATATATTATACTTTTCAAGAGAGTACAGTGGACCCCCGCTTTACGATCAGCTCCCAATGCGACCAATTATGTAAGTGCGTTTGTACGTGTATGTTTGGGGGTTTGAAAAGGACTAATCTAATTCACAATATTTCTTATGGGAACAAATTCGGTCAGTACTGGCACCTGAACATACTTCTGGAATGAAATAATATCGTAAACCGGGGGTCCACTGTATATGCTTGGTACTCTCCATCTTTGTAAGAAAAACAGACTGCAACATTTCTACTCGATATGCTTATGGATGTTAGTGGTTTTCTTTGTACTTAACAATATTTTGCTACACATTGTGTATTATAAAAAGAAATAATTTTTTTAATTTTGAATTTGAATTCTACATACCTTGACCTGTTTCATTTTAATCTATATTTGGTATCTATGCATTACAGTGTCGTACACTCTTCTCTAAATTATGAGAAAAGAATAGCTGGGGTGATTATGATCTTCCTAGCATGGGCCAACAGGCCTACTGCAAAGCTACCCCATTCTTATGTTGCTATGACCAATCAGGTATAAATGAGAGAGATGTAATAGTGTGTTGAAGCAAGGGGTAAAATTTGTCTCCTACCAAGGTAGAGTCACCCCAAAAAATGGATATACATCCCCATGGGGAAGTGGAGAAGAATCTTTCCTCTGTAAGTCATGTATATTGTAAAAGGTGATTAAAATACCGAAAGCAAGGGCCTAGTGATACCTTTTACTGAATGTAAAAAGAAGAAAAACTTTTGTTTTCATTTTTGGGCCACCCTGCCTCGGTGGGAGATGGCCAGGGTGTTGAAGAAAAAAACATTCACCTTCTCTGATTCAACTGTTCTTTTGCCTGAAGTGTGTACACATCACAATTCAAATGAATCTCCAAATGGCAATACCCCTTTCCTTCAGAGTGCAGGCACTGTACTCTCTCACTATTTTCCACCTCTGTGACCCAAGAATTCCCCTGTGCCAAGATATTAGTACAGTGGACCCCCGGTTTACGATATTATTTCATTCCATAAGTATGTTCAGGTGCCAGTACTGAACGAATTTGTTCCATAAGGAATATTGTGAATTAGATTAGTCCATTTCAGACCCCCAAACAAACGCACTTACATAATTGGTCGCATTGGGAGCTGATCGTAAAGTGGGGGTCCACTGTATTGTCCTACTGTGCAACACACCAACACCAGGGTAGATTGATATAGAATTCTTTTTCTACTTCTTTGCTGAAGCACTGCTCAGAATGACCTACTTCCACTCACAAATAACGCTCACCTGTGATGTTGCTCTAGCAGCTTCATCTTGCCTATATTCTAGTATGCAAGGTCTGCCAACATGTCTATGCTGCAGGTTTGAGGAACTAACTACCTCCCATCGAAGGTAATGGACTGATAATGTCAAGGTTACTTCTACTACAGGAGGGCCCTACACATACAGCACCTTTTCAGTGTTCCATGTTTTTGTTGGCTTCAGACTGAGCCATTGTTTCGCTAAGTTCCACCCATCGGCTAGTCACCAGTAAGTGAAACAATAGCACAATTGAAAGCCAAATACAGTGGACCCCCGCTTTATGATCAGCTCCCAATGCAGCCAATTATGTAACTGTATTTATGTAAGTGTGTTTGTACGTGTATGTTTGGGGGTCTGAAATGGACTAATCTAATTCACAATATTCCTTATGGGAACAAATTCGTTCAGTACTGGCACCTGAACATACTTCTGGAATGAAATAATATCGTAAACCGGGGGTCCACTGTATAGGCACTGTAAATAGGAGGCATTCCTGTACTTCTAGAATTCTACTGGTTTCTGTATTAGATTGAAGAAGCTTGATGTACAGGTGAAATATTTCAGCAATAAAGATTCTATAGCACTGCAAGTCTCTTATTAATCACTTTGTTGGTACTATAAACAGTGGACCCCCGCTTTACGATCAGCAACCAATTATGTAAGTGCGTTTGTACATGTATGTTTGGGGGTCTGAAATGGACTAATCTAATTCACAATATTCCTTGTGGGAACAAATTTGTTCAGTAATGGCACCTGAACATACTTCTGGAATGAAATAATATCGTAAGCCGGGGGTCCACCATGGGGAAGTGAAAAAAAGAATCCTTCTTCTGTAAGCCATGCATGTCATAAGAGGTGGTTAAAATGCTGGAAGCATGGGGCTAGTAACTCCTCCTCCTGTGTAAACTACTAAATTTAAAAATTATTTTTTTTTAGGGGCTCTGGTGGCCTGGTGGTTAACGCTCTTGCTTCACACGGTGAGGGCCTGGGTTCGATTCCCAGCCAGAGTAGAAACATTGGACGTGTTTCTTTCCACCTGTTGTCTATGTTCCCCATCAGTAAAATGGGTACCTGGGTGTTAGTCGACTGGTGTGGGTCGCATCCTGGGACACTGACCTAAGGAGGCCTGGTCACAGACCTGGCCGCGGGGGCGTTGACCCCCGGAACTCTCTCCAGGTAAACTGCCTCAGTGGGATACAGCCTGTTAAAAAAAAAAAAATATTCAATCTGTCTTCCTACACAACTGATCTTCTCAAAACTCATAAAACCAGTCTTAAAATAGTATTTTTGCATTAACATCTAAATCAACAAGTGTTTCCTAAATTGATGCTGCAGAACTGACCAGACCGGGCCGCGGGGGCGTTGACCCCCGGAACTATCTCCAGGTAAACTCTGCTGACTACCCACCGAGTCAACTACACAAGTTAGGGATGGTTAAACATATTTAGTTTGAGATGGGAATGATGTGAATACTCTTGCTCTACCATGGTTACATAACATGAATGTTTATATGTATTGAGAATTACAAAAGATACAAATGACAACATTTATATAGGCATGCATACACTGATCTATTGCAACCAGAATGTTACATTAAGTCATACCATGACCTTCAGAAAAATGAAGAACTCTACATTATAAAGGCTGATCATTTATACACAACAGGTATGCTAGACACCACAGCTATGCTAGACACCACAGTTGTGATAGGCACTACGGCTATGCTAGACACCACAGCTATGCTAAACACCACAGTTATAGAGCTGAGCTTGCTACCATCTGCAGCTCATAAGACTGCCATCTCCACGAGCCCCTTTGGGGCGGGGCAGATGGCAGACCAGAGGCCTAGCTTCTCCCTACGAGCACCGTGAGGGCGGGGAATGTGGCTAGGTCTGGGGATAGTTGGTCCCAAAGATGAGGGGGTACTTGTACCTCCTCCCATGGGAGACTTAGGTCTCGAGACACTCCCGAGATAGGGAGCCAAGGCCGGGTCACCACTACTTGGAAAAGACCCAGGCCAGGAGAATACCGGCGAATAAAAAAAAAACACAGTTATGACAGGCACTACAGCTATGCTACACACCACACCTATGCTAGACAAATGTATCATGTCAGCAAAACGCAGAATTTACTAAGAGATACTAATACAAATATGCAACATAATAAGCATCCACACGAACAGGTTAACAACAATTTAAAGCTGATGAGCAGTCGATTAAACAACTCTCAGGTCATTCAACCTCAGCACCATATTTATATCACAACCTAGCTAGACCAATCATCAGTCCTGTAGGGATGACCGAGTATAATCTGCCAAAATGGCTTGTCAAGTTCTTGATCTTAATTATAAGTGAATACAGTGGACCCCCGCATAACGATTACCTCCGAATGTGACCAATTATGTAAGTGTATTTATGTAAGTGCGTTTGTACGTGTATGTTTGGGGGTCTGATATGGACTAATCTAATTCACAATATTTCTTATGGGAACAAATTCGGTCAGTACTGGCACCTGAACATACTTCTGGAGTGAAAAAATATCGTTAACCGGGGGTCCACTGTATACTCATAATTTCATTTTCTCCCCTAAATACAAGTTGTCGTTCTCTCTTCATTTACGTACTTGGGATAATTTTTATTTCATCTACTGTAATATCTCTGTGGAGAAAGAACCTTTTATGAAGCTCATACAATCTCTTCAAAAAATCACATTAACTCTTCTCTACATTAGAATTTACAGGATCTATAATTGTCAGATTTATACATAAAAAGTAGCACAGATTTAACTAGAAAACTGCTCGTGTTAGATATGTCAAATGATTTCAACTTAGCTATGATGTGACTACTTTGTTTATTAAGGTTCCAGTATTATATTTCCTAAACTTCCTGGAAAAAAGAATTACACACATAACATGCCATTTCGGACTGAACTGAATATTGGTCAAACTAAGCACAGCTGACTGCAAATGTGATAATGACGATTACTAAACCCAGAAGTGTGGCACAGGTATGGAAGACCTCCTTATGACAGCATTAAGTAACTTCTACACTTGACTGTCATATTTTGCATGACCAATTTGCATTTTCAATAAATACTGAATGAAGTTTTGTACCCAAGTTGCATTGTGTAGTAGAGTGGCAGCAAGCTCACACCATAACATTTAGGAAAAATAGGCATAAATCCTCTTTTTGCATGAAATATGGCTTGACTGCATGGTGGGATATGTCCAGGGTGAAGTCACTATTTTAGGGAATAAGCCCAGCATTACTCCTTGCTGCAAACAGCCAGTTGCCTTCTGGATATGACCCTTAATTTACTCTCTCATAGAGAAAGAGTGCAGTCAGCAGTCTCAGAACCCATTATAGGGAAACTGGCAAGGTTCCCAAGTGATGCTCTTCTCCACTCAGCCTCAAATTCAAAGTTTATTCTCTATAGGCATTCTAGTGGTACACTCTGTAATCATTATTTAACTACATGTAAACCACACAACAACCAAATTCTATAAATTCAACATTGTAATCTTTATAGAGAATAAACTTTGAATAAGGATTACAATGTTGAATTTACAGAATTTGGTTATTGTGTGGTTTACATGTAGTTAAATAATGATTACAGAGTGTACCACTAGAACGCCTGGCTGAGTGGAGAAAAACATCACTTGGGAACCTTGACAGTCTTCCTATAGCGAGTTATAATCTTGCTGACTGTGATCTTTCCCTTTATATATCCGCTTGTTTCTGCATGGTGCACTGATAGAAAAATTACTCTCTTGAATTTATCAATCAATTCTCATTTTTTCATCAACCTTCTCATCCCTGGATATTAAATCCTGGCACCCAAGAGAAACACTAGTGACACTTGAGATACAGATGTATAATGTTAAATCATGCCTATATAAATCTCACTACATACATCTACGCCTAGTAGGGCCACATCAACCCTCTCTATACATTCTTAGATCAACAAACAATGGCAACTCTGAGTACAAAAACTATTATTTTTAGACAAAATACATTTACAAAGATATTTTTTTTGGCTTGGTGGTGGTATCACGAATGTAACCCAATTTTTCCTATACGTACATTTAGACCGAACACCAGGATTTCTCTTACAGCAGTGATTTTCAGGAAAGCAACCCATGCAGAATGCAAGTGGCTACTCAATATGCAATTCTTAAAATCAAGATTCTTGAATATAAAAATGCACACATACATGCACACACATGTATATCATTCAATAAGATCACAGTAAACAAGTGATATCACAATATACAAAACAACCAAGGTGAAAAAAAGGGTGAATTTCCAAGCACTTTCGTGATTTTACCGTGGTTATTTTACGCATATATACATACATACACATTCTTCTTCTTCTTTCTTTCAACACACCGGCCGTATCCCACCGAGGCGGGGTGGCCCAAAAGGAAAAACGAAAGTTTCTCCTTTTACATTTAGTAATATATACAGGAGAAGAGGTTACTAGCCCCTTGCTCCCGGCATTTTAGTTGCCTCTTACAACACGCATGGCTTACGGAGGAAGAATTCTGTTCCACTTCCCCATGGAGATAAGAGGAAATAAACAAGAATAAGAACTAGAAAGAAAATAGAAGAAAACCCAGAGGGGTGTGTATATATGTGCTTGTACATGTATGTGTAGTGTGACCTAAGTGTAAGTAGAAGTAGCAAGACGTACCTGAAATCTTGCATGTTCATGAGACAGAAAAAAGGACACCAGCAATCCTACCATCATGTAAAACAATTACAGGCTTTCGTTTTACACTCACTTGGCAGGACGGTAGTACCTCCCTGGGCGGTTGCTGTCTACCAACCTACTACCTATAATACATACACATATATGTATATATATACATGTGTTTATATATGTATACATGTATATGTACATGGATTACTAAATTTAAAAGAGAAACTTTCGTTTTTCTTTTTGGGCCACCCTGCCTTGGTGGGATGCGGCCAGTGTGTTGAAAGAAAGAAGATATATACATGGGTGTTTACTCTCAATCAGCTGACTGGAACCGTTGCTTCACACTGTCAGGAATTATTACCTCCATGGGGAAGTGGAACAGAATTCTTCCTCTGTAAGCCATGCGTGTTGTAAGAGGCGACTAAAATGCCGGGAGCAAGGGGCTAGTAACCCCTTCTCCTGTATATATTACTAAATTTAAAAAGAGAAACTTTAGTTTTTTCTTTTGGGCCACCCCACCTCAGTGGGATACGGCTGGTACGTTGAAAGAAGAAAGAAAGATATACATGTCGTGCTGAATAGGTAAAATTGGTCAATTAGCAAGAACTCATTTAAAATTAAGTCCTTTCTAAAATTTTCTCTTATACATTAAAAGATATATTTTTTCAATTATGTTAATGCAAAAATTAGTAATTTTGTACCAAAAGAACATTAGAAAACTTACCTGAACTTATTATAACAAGAGCAATTTCATTTACCCTAATCCAACAAAATATAGTATTTTAGAGCAGTTTACAATAATTTAATAACAAGCAAGCACATTGAAATATATTTTTTTCGTTAGGTTCAGAATGACTTTTGCTAAATTACTGCATACACAAATTTTCGCTTGCCTTATTCGGCAAGAAAAGAGTTGTTATTTAAGCCAAAATCGTAAGTTTTACCTATCTGGCACGACATATATATATGGGAGATGGCCAACTTGTTAAAAATAAATATATATATATATATATATATAAAGGTACCATCTGACTTACGGCCAAGCTTGGTTCCGACCAACTGGTCTTAAGTCAAAATGGACGTAAGTCGAACCTTTGAAAATTGCCGACATACTGGGTAGGGCATAATGTCAAACCTTTCCTATATAAACTACCTACATAGTACTGTAATGTAGTGTACAATCATTATTTCATTTTTTTACCATAATTTACTTCTATTGTTTTACTATTTTAATTATTTATGTACCGTATATAATGTATACATGGTAGTGAACTGAACTGTAAATTTTACATCGCATACAGTATCATATGTTACTGTTATCTTTATGTATTGTCGACACAGTGAATGGGAGAATACCACTGGTAGTGTCATCCTGCCAGAATGTTGTGTAACCTATACCCTAAGTAAAGAGAAACAACTCTGGAATATGTGTAATACATAGCTGGCTGGCTGGCCAGGTGGGTGGGTGGTTGGCTGACTGAATGTGGCTCTCTCTCTCTCTCACACAAGTACACGTAAGTCATCATACATAGTATAAATTACCTAGGATAACCCAAAAATCCAGACAAAGTGCTATACAGTGGATCTGTGCTCCAGTGACCTAAATTAATAATAATACTAATTATTGAACATTAAAATGGTATAAAATACCGACAGGTTGTTAGGTAAGACACATATGCAACAGTTAGGTATCTTTATTTCGAAACGTTTCGTCTACACAGTAGGCTTCTTCAGTCGAGTACAGAAAAGTTGATAGAAGCAGAAGATACTTGAAGACGATGTAATCAGTCCATCACCCTTAAAGTTTTGAGGTGGTCAGTCCCTCAGTCTGGAGAAGAGCATTGTTCCAAAGTCTGAAACAATACTGTTTCAGACTCTGGAACAATGCTCTTCTCCAGACTGAGGGACTGACCACCTCAAAACTTTAAGGGTGATGGACTGATTACATCGTCTTCAAGTATCTTCTGCTTCTATCAACTTTTCTGTACTCGACTGAAGAAGCCTACTGTGTAGACGAAACGTTTCGAAATAAAGATACCTAACTGTTGCATATGTGTCTTACCTAACAATACTAATTATTATTATTATTATTACAATAATACATATGTACTAATATTAATAATAATATTATTATTAAACTATAATAATAGTGTCCACTCATTACTTACCTTAAAATATCTGTAGTCTTAATGTAGAGTGAGAGGTGAGTAAACAAGATTAAATGAATAAACAAGAGAGAGAATGAGTGTAGAAGGTTCATGAGTTATGTAAACAAACGTTGTTGTTACCAGCCCGGACACGAATGGTTTTTGTTCACTCTGTCAAGCCGACCAGAAAAACATCTCATATTTTTTAATTTATAAGCTATATGTTATGTAGCATGTTTATTATATAATTTTGAAAAACATCATAGATGGATTAAGCAAAATATCTATATTAACGCTTTATACACATTTAATGTGCCTCATTGATTATTATTGTGTTATTATCATTATTAATATGGTGTCTTCAAGACCAATTACACTCTTAATGAGTGGCTCTGAGACAGACGCAGAAAGACAGACATACAGACAGACACAGGTATACAGGCAGACAGATACAGACAGGTTTATATGCAACAGTGAAAACAAATAGAGAGTTCGAGAGTAAGAGCCTTTCTTGCCACAATCTCCAGTGCAAGATTCAGACTTCATCTTAGGGGCCATGGTGAAATTTACTGTCCAGTTAATACAGTATGATGCTGCTGATAGGGAAGGGTTACTCAAACTGATGCTGCCTGCATGACGTATTGCCGCTGCGAGTATCGCCAAATATTGTACAGCGGTGTGCATCAGCTGGCCCAGCCCAGCTGCCAGATGCACGGTTGTAAGTCGAGTGGACGTATGTCGAGCAGGTCGTAAGTTGGATGGTAGGTGTGTATATATCTATATATACAGTATATATGAGTAGTGTACTTGAGTATTCAAGAGCGAGTTAGTGGTTTGCTTCATCTTCACTAGACTCGGAATCTTCCTCTTCATCTATGGAGAAGAAATGTGACCAGCACTGTCCTCCAGGGTACAACTCAGGGAGTACCCTACTCCCACTGTAAAAAAAAATCATACATTATTCATGGACAATTCTTCAATACTGCATTGCACATCAAAATACAAAATGCAGTAATGCATGGAGCAGGATCCTCAGCTGCCTTACTGGGGAATTTTATCAATTTCTAGCATAAAAGTCTTTTTTTTTTTTTAACGTGCTGGCCATCTCCCACCAAGGAAGGGTGACCCAAAAAAAGAAACACTTTCACCATCATTCACATTATCAGTCTTGCCAGAGGTGCACAGATACAACAGTTTACATGTCATTCTAAACAGCCAATACCTCAAACCTCCTCCTTTAGAATGCTGGCATTGTACTTCCCACCTACAGAATTCAAGTCCATCTAACCAGTTTGCCTGAATCCCTTCACAAAACATTACACTGCTCACACTCCAATAACTTGTCAGGTCCCAAAAACTTCCCCATTATTCTGATTTAATAGATACTATGACAATTTTCTCATCAGTCTACTACATAAAGGCTCTATTGTACTTGATAAAGCCTCACGTAGGTGAATATCTTATTAATACGGATCGTTACTGTGTGTCTTTAACTGCAACACTCTATGTGGAAGATGTACAAAATGTTCTGTATATTAAGGATCTTTCTGCGTGCATATCTACAAGTCATTCACCTTTGTATGAACATTGTATCATGCTCAAATAAAAAATTCTATATAATAATAATAATTATTTCAGCATACAATGTCTGTACAAATGTGAATGACATTTAGGTGTGCATGCAGAAAGCACCTTAATAAGCAGAGTATTTCAGGCAAACTTAAGATTAAAATGGGAATGACAATTTCTGCAATTTTATACACACAGTCTCTTAAGTGCATGCAAGTATAAAGTTAAGAGTTACAATGAATGATCTTTAATCTTACATGTATACATACCAGGAGAGTGAGCAGTTCAGTTGTTCACGAGCAACAGTCATAAGATGGTGACAGTCATCCTGAGTGAGTGCTGGAGAGGCTATCTGGATACCTCGGTTACAAATCCACACTGTCACGCCCCTCTCCGCTAGACCCTTAACCAGGTTCTCACAGCCATCTTTGCTCAAGGTGCTCCTCACCAATCCTAAAGTCCAGTATTCCCTGCAGGAACCAGTCATCTCTTCAGAAAAGGCTCGGTTACATGACATAAATACAGTATCTTACAGCTAGGCTTTAAATATTAAGATATTACAAGGACCTCAAAGGAAATAACTGACTTTTTTTATTCCTCGACCAATCAGCCGTATCCCACTGAGGCAGAGTGACCTAAAAAAAAAACGAAAATTTCTCCTTTAAATTTAGTAAAGAATACAGGAGAAGGGGTTACTAGCCCCTTGCTCCCGGCATTTTAGTCACCTCTTACGACACGCATGACTTATGGAGGAAGAATTCTGTTCCACTTCCCATGGAGCTTTTTGGGTTATCCTAAGTAATGTACATGTTACTTTAATTGTAATTATGTGTACCATACCATGGCGGAGATAGAGCCTGCAATCAGAGAGTCATAACAATTGTGTCATTGCGATTTTGTGAGTCATGTAGTTTACATGTAGCGAAATATTGTAACGTACAAAGAGAGCCCCTAACATGCATGAACATTTCGGGAAGACTAATTCTAATGCTTACACACAACTTAAACTAGACATAGGTTATGGAGTGGTAAATTTTAATTACGTATTATTACAACAATGGGAGGTAGGAAAATTTATAATTAATAATTAAACAGAAATTATATACAGGGAAACCTCAGTTTTCATATGCACTAGTCTGTATGTAAAACTATGTGGTACGTTAGTTATTCTCTATAAAATATATTTCTCATTAATATTTTTGGGTGTCTGGAATGGATTAATCAGACTTATATTATTTCTTATCGGAAATATTAACAAAAAATATATTTTACAGAGAACTATAGTTTTATATGGAGACTAGGGTATACGAAACCCAGGTTCCACCATAGCTTGAGTCATTAGTCTGGTGTGAGTAACAAATACTCTCAAGTTGCTAATGCATCTACAATGATAAAACAAATAACAAAAAAAGGCACAATACCGTGACTGGAACGATACACAAATAACCCGCACATAAAAGAGAGAAGCTTACGACGACGTTCCGGTCCAACTTGGACCATTGACAAAGTCACACTAACTAGAAGTGGAGCAGGACGGCTATATATAGGCAGGAAGAGGTGGTGGTAGTAGTAGTAGTACAAGAATGGTATATAATACCGACAAGATGAAATTAAGACACATGCGCAACACCCGGGCATCCCTATCGTAGACGTTTCGCCATCCAGCCAGCCACTGGATGGCGAAACGTCCACAACAAAGACAACCAGACGCCGCACATGTGTCTTAATTTCATCAGTAGTTGTAGTATAAAAAAAATTACTGAACATGAAAGGGCGTACTAAGACACTGATGTTAACAACTATAGAATTTACAATGTTTAGGTCTATACATTATTACAGGTGTCTTAATATGTAAGGAACATTGTTTTAAATATAAACTAAAAGTCAAATAGCTAGCAAGTTTATTTAGGCACAGGTACGCATAAGTACAATTATCATACATGGTGTAAATTACCCAGAATAACCCAAAAAAATGTTAGACAAAGTGACTTATTTCCACTGGGGTCCTTGTAATTTATTATTTAAATTTTAAGTTAAAACAGCAAAGTTATTCAACTGTGTGAAAATCAGTTACAATTAAAGGAGATATACTTGGAATAAAGTAAACTGAGTTATTTATAAAGAGAGGTTGAGCAAATACAAGTACCATCCGACTTACAAGACTGAGCTCGGTTCTGATGAACCGGTCATAAGTCAAAATGGACGCAAGTCAAACCTTAGAAAATTACCAACATATTGGGTAAGGCATAATGTCAAACCTTTGCTATATAAAGTACCTACATAGTATCGTATGTTACTTTTTACTAAATATTTTACTACTGTACATGCTGCCAGATGTACGGTCATAAGTACAAGTGGTCGTATGTCGAGCAGGTCGTAAGTCAGATGATACTTGTACTATCATACAAAGAGATGTTAATGAACAAAAAGGCACAATACCATGACTGGAACAATACACAAATAACCCGCACATAGAAGAAACTTATAGCTAGTAATGTTAGTACCACGTAATGAGAAGCAAAGAGAGGTACTGTACACACCACCAACTACTGTTAGGTTGCAGAGTACGAGCAACATCACATGCCCAGTCTACTTGGCTATCAGATACCCCCGATATCACCAGGTGAGGCCCGTAGCTCCGGCATGCTATAGGGTGCAACATGCTCAGTGCAGTTCCTGCCACCACATGTAGCCCTGGAAAGGAAATACAATGTAGAGGTTGCGAAGAACGTAGGTACAGGAGAAACCCCGTATCCACAGGGGATACGTTCCGGAACCTGCCATGGATACTGAAACTGTGGACAGTAGCAAACCCTATACAGGTCTCCCTCCATATTCGCGAGGGTTAGGGGATCAAGAACCTCGCGAATGTTGAAAAATCGCGAATGCTAGGTGCGCAAATATATTGTAGGGAAATGTAATAATAGTATTTACTTAGCCTAACAATACCGCTTCCTTAACCTACTGAACCATGAAAAATCATAAAACGCATGAAAACATCGTAAAATATTGTACTAGTGCCAACCTTTTGGTAAAGAAGGTGAAAAAGACTATAGAATTCAAGAAAGAACTCACAGCAGAGTACCAAGGCGGAGGAGGAAGAGAGAGGGGAAGAATGTGCCTTCAGTGATTCTATGATATGTACAATACTAAAGCAGCACAAGTCGATAAAGCCTATAGCGCCAGCCAGCGATAAAGTGTAGTATTAACAATGTAGCAACTAAGTTAAGCAATTAATCGACAGAAAAAGAACAGCACGAACCTAACTCCTCCAATGTTGTTGGCATTATATAGGGCGACTGACAACACCGCCGTTTCTAGTCTCTACCGCCTCCACCACCACCATGTACGGCTTATGTCTCAGTGGCCATTATACATCCAACACAACAACACTCATGACATACTTAATGACGTATTTTATTCATTCTAGAGTGTATGTCATGTTTCTATGTTTTAATATTGTTTATTATGTCATATTAGATGAATTGTGAGAGATAAATAAGCCATAGAGTTGATATTAGTGTCATAATGAAGGACTATCTTGCCCTATCTCCAAACAAACTCTGCCACCACCACAATTCCTAACATATGTAATGACATATTTTAAATGTGATTGGGCGGCTGGGAATTCACGAATGTTCGAAGCCTGCAAATGTTGAGGGAGACCTGTATATTGTATTTTGCGGCTTATCAAACACATTTCTTTTTTTCAGAAAATGTCTCCAAAAACCAGCCTGCATCCTATAAACTGAAGGTCAGTGATGGGAGCTGTAAGTTTGGGGTGTGGGGTGGGCTGTAGCTCTCCCAGTTATGTCCGATGCTGAGCCACTGAAACTAAAACAAGTCTTATAAGCCGCAAAATACGGTATAAGTCCTACACACACTTATTATAAAGTTTAACTGATAAATTATGCACAATAAGTGGAGAATTATCACTTTTTCATTGATGGGAAACACTTCACAGCTTCTCTTAGGCTTTGAAGAACTGCCAACTTCTCTACTTTTGCACTTTGGGGTCATTATTATACAAAATTAAGAGGTATTTTTAGGCTATAGTAAACCGTGGATAACTAAACGGCAGATACCGAATCAGTGGATATGGGGGTTCTACTGTACATCACATGGCAGGTGACCATCACAAAGCCCAATATGCACTTCATGCCAGTTACTTTCTTTTGTAGATATGTGTGTTCATGAATAAAAATACTCAGATACATGTACACCTACACTATTTAGATACATGTACACCTACACTATTTAGATACATGTACACCTACACTATTTAGATACATGTACAACCAAAGCTGTACATGTATCTAAATGGATAAATGTGCACCTTTGGTTTCAAATTTTTGTAAGAACATAAGAAAGGAGGAACACTGCAGTAGGCCTGTTGGCCCATACTGGGCACATCCTTCACAAATCCAACCCACTAACAGAATGTACTAACAGAGGTACTCCATCCTTGCAATATTTTCAGTCATTGCAGAGAGAGCATTCCGCATGTGGTCATCGTCCTCAGTGAAAGCTAGCCACAATTGGTTTATCGTCGCAGGTAACGAGGCCACCACTAGACCACTGAGGCAGCCACTGAAGGCAGTTACCCGGCACCTGTGGAAAGACTGTGGGTCACAGATATGACTAAAGTCCAACAGTAAGTCTATTTCTTAAATAAAGAATATACAGGGCTGCAGACACAGTATAACCAGGGCTGAAGACACAGGATAATCAGGATTGTAGACATGTGGAGTTCTTACCCACGACAGTGTCTAAATACAAGATGAAATATTGTAGTGGAAGGAAGGCGGGGTAGGGGTCGGCCTAGGAAAGGTTGGAGGGAGGGGGTAAAGGAGGTTTTGTGTGCGAGGGGCTTGGACTTCCAGCAGGCATGCGTGAGCGTGTTTGATAGGAGTGAATGGAGACAAATGGTTTTTAATACTTGACGTGCTGTTGGAGTGTGAGCAAAGTAACATTTATGAAGGGGTTCAGGGAAACCGGCAGGCCGGACTTGAGTCCTGGAGATGGGAAGTACAGTGCCTGCACTCTGAAGGAGGGGTGTTAATGTTGCAGTTTAAAAACTGTAGTGTAAAGCACCCTTCTGGCAAGACAGTGATGGAGTGAATGATGGTGAAAGTTTTTCTTTTTCGGGCCACCCTGCGCTGGTGGGAATCGGCCAGTGTGATAATAAAAAATAATTGCATTTGCTGCTATATTTTACAAAATAAAGAACAATAATTGCATATATATTTTTTTTTTTATTTTTGCATGCACATATTTGTCACAGTTGGTGTACACTACTGACAAGCTATGGGTGTTATATGTGGATATACATGGTGTACAAAGCTGGTGTACACAGCTGGTGTACACAGTTGGTGTACACACTACTGACACTTGAACACATTTTTAATAAATTTTATAATAATCTTTTCAACCTCTCCTCTTGCTAATTTACTTTTCCCCTATATTATATAAGGTACATAAAGATATCAATATACCAAATGCAAGCAATGTGCATATTAATTTTCTTTTTAACACGGCAGCCGTTTCCCACTGAGGCACGGTTACCCAAAAAGAAAGAAAAAACTTTCATTATCATTCAACACCTTCACCATCATTCATACATAATCACTGTCTTTGAAGAGGCGCTCAGATATGATAGTTTAGATGTCTCTCTAAACTGCCAATATCCGAAACCCCTCCTTTAAAGTGCAGGCATTGTACTTCCCATTTCCAGGACTCAAGTCCGACTAACCAGTTTCCCTGAATCCCTTCACAAAATATTACCCAACTTACACTCTAACAGCTCATCAGGTCCCAAAGACCATTCATCTCCATTCACTCCTATCTAACATGCTCACGCACGCTTACCTGGAGTTTACCTGGAGAGAGTTTCAAGGGTCAACGCCCCTGCAGCTCAGTCTGAGACTAGACCTAATGGTGGATCAGGGTCTGATCAACTAGGCTGTTATGCTGGCCACACGCAAACTGACATACGAACAACAGCCCGGTTAGTCAGGTACTGACTTTAGGTGCCTCTCCAGTGCCTTCTTGAAAACAGCTTGCTGGAAGTCCAAGCCCCTTGCCCACAAAACCTCCTTTACCCCCATCCCTCCAACCTTTTTGAAGATGACCCCTACCCCGCCTTCCTTCCCCTACACATTTATACACTCTCCAAGTCATTCTACTTCGTTCCATTCTGTCTAAATGACCAAACCACCCCAACAACCCCTGTTCAGCCCTCTGACTAATACTTTTAGTAACTCCACACCTCCTCCTACTTTCCACACTACGAATTCTCTGCCTAATACTTACACCACGCATTACCCTTAGACACGACATCTCCACTGCTTCCAGCCTCCTCCTTACTGCAACATTCACACCCATATAAGAGTATTGCTACCACTAACAGATATAAAGATTATTATTATTATTAAATATTATTCTTACTATAATGACATAACCTCAATAACCTATGTCTAGTTTTTAAGTAGTTTGGGAGCACTAGGATTATTATTTTATTATTATTAACACATCAGCCGATTCCCACCAAGGCAGGGTGGTCCAAAAAAGAAAAACTCTCATCATCGTTCACTCCATCACTGTCTTGCCAGAGGGATGCTTTACATTACAGTTATAAAACTGCAACATTAACACCCCTCCTTCAGAGTGCAGGCACTGTACTTCCCATCTCCAGGACTCAAGTCCAGCCTGCCGGTTTCCCTGAATCCCTTCATAAATGTTTCTCTGCTTACACTCCAACAGCACGTCAAGTATTAAAAACCATCTGTCTCCATTCACTCCTATCAGAAACGCTCACGCATGCCTGCTGGAAGTCCAAGCCCCTTGCACACAAAACCTCCTTTATCCCCTCCCTCCAACCTTTCCTACGCCAACCCCTACCCCGCCTTCCCTCCACTACAGATTTATACACTCTTGAAGTCATTCTGTTTTTTTCCATTCTCTCTACATGTCCAAACCACCTCAACAACCCCTCCTCAGCCCTCTGGATAATAGTTTTGGTAATCCCACACCTCCTAATTTCCAAACTACGAATTCTCTGCATTATATTCACACCACACATTGCCCTCAGACATGACATCTCCACTGCCTCCAGTCTTCTCCTCGTTGCAACATTCATCACCCATGCTTCACGCCCATACAAGAGTGTTGGTACAACTATACTCTCATACATTCCCCTCTTTGCTTCCACGGACAAAGTTCTTTGTCTCCACAGACTCTTAAGTGCACCACTCACCCTTTTCCCCTCATCAATTCAATGATTCACCTCATCCTTCATAGACCCATCTGTTGATATGTCCACTCCTAAATATCTGAATGAATTCACCTCCTCCATACTCTCTCCCTCCAATCTGATATCCAATCTTTCGTCACCTAATCTTTTTGTTATCCTCATAACCGTACTCTTTCCTATACGTGTATTCACTTTTTTCTTCTTTTACATACCCTACCAAATTCATCCACTGACCTCAGCAACTTCTCTTCAGAATCTCCCAAAAGCACAGTGTCATCAGCAAAGAGCAACTGTGACAACTCCCACTTTGTGTGTGATTCTTTATCTTTTAACTCCACACCTCTTGCCAAGACCCTCGCATTCACTTCTCTTACAACCCCATCTATAAATATACTGAACAACCATGGTGACATCACACATCGTTTTCTAAGGCCTACTTTTACTGGGAAATAATCTCCCTCTTTCCTACATACTCTAACCTGAGCCTCACTATCCTTGTAATAACTCTTCGCTGCTTTCGGTAACCTACTTCCTGCAACATCTGCCACATTGCCCCCCCTATCCACCCTGTCATATGCCTTTTCCAAATCCATAAATGCCACAAAAACCTCTTTACCCCTATCTAAATACTGTTCACTTATATATTTCACTGTAAACACTTGGTCTACACACCCCCTACCTTTCCTAAAGCCTCCTTGTTCCTCTGCTATCCTACTCTCCGTCTTACTCTTAATTCTTTCCATAATAACTCTACCATACACTTTACCAGGTATACTCAACAGACTTATTCCCCTATAATTTTTGCACTCTCTTTTATCCCCTTTGCCTTTATACAAACAAACTATGCATGTTCTCTGCCAGTCCCAGGTACCTTACCCTCTTCCATACATTTATTAAATAATAGCAATGACCACTCCAAAACTATATCCCCACCTGCTTTAACATTTCTATCTTCATCCCATCAATCCCGGCTGCCTTACCCCCTTTCATTTTACCTACTGCCTCATGAACTTCCCCCACACTCACAACTGGCTCTTCCTCACTCCTACAAGATGTTATTCCTCCTTGCCCTATACATGAAATCACAGCTTCCCTATCTTCATCAACATTTAACAATTCCTCAAAATATTCTCTCCATCTTCCCCATACCTCTAACTCTCCATTTAATAACTCTCCTCTCCTATTTTTAACTGACAAATCCATTTGTTCTCTAGGCTTCCTTAACTTGTTAATCTCACTCCAAAACTTTTTCTTATTTTCAACAAAATTTGTTGATAACATCTCACCCACTCTCTCATTTGTTCTCTTTTTACACTGCTCAAAATACATTGCATGCTAGTGGAAATACCAAGGACCCCAATGGAAATAAGTCACCTTGCCTGACTTTTTTGGATTATTCAAAATCCAAATTCAAAAATTTATTTCTTTGCGTAGTATACAATGTGCAGTTTACTAGCATGTATGAGCACCTCGGGCAGGCTACGTAATTTATGCTATGTATAATAATTGTATGTATGTATACCTGTGTCTATATAAACTTACTTAATGGGATCCTTGAAAATTCAGCACAAAAACCCCAGTGTGGGGGGGGGTCAAAATATACAGCTCAATTAATATTCCAAGTGTCTGACCCATGTGGGTTATTATCGAACATTTCATCACCTCAAAAATTCAAATTCTAATCCTTTATTTCTTTGTACGGTACAATGTGTAGTTAACATGTGATGAACACGTTGGGGACCTGTACTGGGTATAATAATGATATGTTATTATACACAATAATGATATACAGTGGAACCTCGGTGCTTGAACAGCTCAGTACTCGAACAATTCGGTATTTGAACACTTTGTTCGGTAAACAAATAGCTCAGTAGTCAACCGTCTGCTCGGCACTCGACCAAACAAACACAAACTGCCAGAGTTCGCTGTAAATTATTTTTTGTTTCTTCGCATTTTTTTTTTACATTATGTATTTGTGTAAATAAGTCACCATGGGGCCTAAGAGGTTTAGTGATAACAGCCAACCAAAAAGTAAATCGGTTGGGGAAAATTAGTTCTGTACTCAAACAGATCGACTCTGGAACAAATTAAGTTTGAGTGCCGAGGTTCCACCATAATAATGACATTATACACAATAATTATATAATAATGATATACACAATAGAGAAGATTCAAAATGTCTTTGTAAACTAAGGACTTGCTGTACTGACAGGCACAAAGAAATCCACTAGAAGGCGCGAGTATAGTTAAAGTGAAGGGACGTTTTATGACTTACTTGGCGCTAGACTGAGTGAGAATGGTAATATGCTCGTCTGATGAGCCAGCTCTGGGCAGCTGCCAATCATATCTCAAAAAAAGATTCACCTCACAGTCGCGCATTGCCACCACCTGCAGAGCCTCACGAAGCCCCGGGATATTACTCGGTCGCTTCAGAAGCTCGAACGTCACGGTCTTGGGTTGCAAGTGCATCATATCATTAGCAAATGATGCCACACAGTTGTCATAAATGACCACATGGTCTTGGTGGGTATGGTGAGGGCAGGTTGCCGTGCCCCTTGGGTGAATGTTACCAAACATAGCACATGTAGTACCTTATATCTGAAAATTGTACAAGAATGGTATATAACAAATTAAAACACATGTGAAACATCTGGGTATCTTTATTGTAGATGTTTTGCCATCCAGTGGCTTTATCAATACAAATTCCAGGACATAAATTGAAGACAGTAGAACTACATACAGAAGACGATGTAATCAGTCCGTCAGCCTTGGCATTGGTGCGAACAGCACAGTAGTCGTGGATGTTCTGATTACCTCGTCTTCTGTATATAGTTCTACTGTCTTCAAATTATGTCATGGAATTTGTATTGATAAAGCCGCTGGACGGTGAAACCTGAAACCTGAACAAGTGTTTAATTGTGACACTGACAATGTTGCGAAACACTTTAGGAATGTCATAAATTATTATTATTATAATCAAGGGTGAAGCGCTAAACCCGGAGGATTATACAACGCCTGGGGGGGTGTGGAAGGCATTCAGGCTTAATTCGGGGAATTGGAGCACAGATCCAATTCCCTAAATCAAGAGCCCTTCACCAACATCAAGGAACCTTCCTTGAGGGGGTAATGTCATAAAGGAACGGGAGGTACAGGCCTCTATGGATAGATATGTTGTGCGACACAAGTCCAGTGACGCTCAAGCTGGTCCTAGTGGCATTAAAAGAAGGGAAGTAGCCCCGGAAAAGGACTTGCTACCTCAGGTCCTAATGGAAGGGGATTCCCCTTCTAAATACGAACACCATCCATACTCTCCCGTCCTCCCGTTCCATCAATCATCACCAGATCTTCAATAAAGGTAAGTGTCAATTATTCTTTTGTTATTTGTTGTTATTGTAATTACTCTATTGCATTAAACTTAATATTTCACGTGGTAAAATTTTTTTTTTCATACTTTTGGGTGTCTTGCACGGATTAATTTGATTTCCATTATTTCTTATGGGGAAAATTGATTCGGTTTCCAATACAGTGGACCCCCGCATAACGATGGCATCACATAGCGATTATTTCGCATACCGCTTACTTTAATTGCAAAAATTTTGCCTCACATACCGCTTAAAAACCCGCTTACCGATTTTCGTCCGAGACGCGTCCAATGTGCGGCCTGAGCCACGCTCACATGTTCCGCCGGTGGCATTGTTTACCAGCCAGCCTCCGCGGTAACATCCAAGCATACAATCGGAATATTTCGTATTATTACAGTGTTTTCGGTGCTTTTTCTGGAAAATAAGTGACCATGGGCCCCAAGAAAGCTTCTAGTGCCAACCCTACAGCAATAAGGGTGAGAATTACAATAGAGATGAAGAAAAAGATCATTGATAAGTATGAAAGTGGAGTGCATGTCTCCGAGCTGGCCAGGTTGTATAATAAACCCCAATCAACCATCGCTACTATTGGTGGTACAGCTGCTGCTGCTGCTGCACTGTCAGCTGCTGCTGCTGTAGCACCGTTGTTGGTGTGGCTTATTGAGAATACCAAGAAACAATTAACCCCAGAGGATTTGCCACCCAGGATAACCCAAAAAAGTCAGTGTCATCGAAGACTGTAACTTATTTCCATTGGGGTCCTTAATCTTGTCTCCCAGGATGCAACCCACACAAGTCGACTAACACCCAGGTGAATAGGGAAAAATGCCTGGAACTAGTGCTCATATTGGTGAATTTAAAGCCAGCAAAGGTTGGTTTGAGAGATTTAAGAATCGTAGTGGCATACACAGTGTGATAAGGCCTGTTCTGGAAGAAAATGCCAAACAGGACCTACAGTACTCAGGAGGAAAAGGCACTCCCAGGACACAGTGTCTCATCAGTCATTGCTGCATCTTCAATAAAGGTAAGTGTCATTTATTCTTCATTTAGTAGACTAGTACATGCACAATATATATTGTGCATGTACTACTCTACTATTGTGCATGTATCCTTCTCTTTGTGTGTAGGAAAATGTATATTTCATGTGGTAAAAATTTTTTTTTCATACTTTTGGGTGTCTTGCACGGATTAATTTGATTTCCATTATTTCTTATGGGGAAAATTCATTCACATAGCGATTATTTCGCATAACAATTACCCCTCTTGCACGGATTAAAATCGTTAACCGGGGGTCCACTGTAATTTTGGTTTACGATGAGCTCTCAGGAATGGATTAATATCATTGGTCGAGGGTCCACAGTATATATTTATATATATATATATATATATATATATATATAATATATATATATATATATATATATATATATATATACACATATATATATATATATATATATATATATATATATATATATATATATATATATATATATATATACATATATATATATATTATATATACATATATATATATATATATATATATACATATATATATATATATATATATACATATATATATATATATATATATATATATATATATATATATATATATATATATATATATATATATATATAATATATATATATATATATACATATATATATATATATATATATATATATATATATATATATATATATATATAGAGAGAGAGAGAGAGAGAGAGAGAGAGAGAGAGATAGATGGATAGATTAGATAGATATAAATAGATAGTATAGATAAAAGAGAACATTATAAAACAAGAGTAAAGTGTTAACTTCACCATCAATATTCTACTCAATATAAACATTATCAACAATATAAACATTATCAACAATATAAACATCATCAACAATATAAACATTATCAATATAAACATTATCAATATAAAGATCATCGACACCATGCCCAGCCCTTCTAGGGTAGGGTAGGTGCCCGAGCCCGAGCCTTTAGCTCATATGACTGTCATTCCCATTTGCCCCCTTGAGGCGGGGATGGCAGACCAGAGAGGCCTAGCTTGTGGCTAGGCCTGGGACAGTTGGTCCTGAGGCCTAGCTTGTGGCTAGGCCTGGGGACAGTTGGTCCTGAGGCCTAGCTTGTGGATAGGCCTGGGGACAGTTGGTCCTGAGGCCTAGCTTGTGGCTAGGCCTGGGGACAGTTGGTCCTGAGGCCTAGCTTGTGGCTACGCCTGGGGACAGTTGGTCCTGAGGCCTAGCTTGTGGATAGGCCTGGGGACAGTTGGTCCTGAGGCCTAGCTTGTGGCTACGCCTGGGGACAGTTGGTCCTGAGGCCTAGCTTGTGGCTAGGCCTGGGGACAGTTGGTCCTGAGGCCTAGCTTGTGGCTAGGCCTGGGGACAGTTGGTCCTGAGGCCTAGCTTGTGGCTAGGCCTGGGGACAGTTGGTCCTGAGGCCTAGCTTGTGGCTAGGCCTGGGGACAGTTGGTCCCAAAGATGAGGAGGTACTTGTGCCTCCTCCCATGGCAGACTTAGGTCTCAGACACTCCCTAAAGAGGGAGTCAAGGCCGGGCCACCACTTGGAAAAGGCCCGGGCCGGGAGAATACCGACGAATCTTTAATAATTATCATCAATATAAACATTATCATCATTAACAACTCATTTCCTTCGGTTTAAATATAAAATTGTACCAATAAACCTGATAATAATAAACCTGGATAATAATAAACCTGGATAATAATAAACCTGGATAATAATAAACCTGGATAATAATAAACCTGGATAATAATAAACCTGGATAATAATAAACCTGGATAATAATAAACCTGGATAATAATAAACCTGGATAATAATAAACCTGGATAATAATAAACCTGGATAATAATAAACCTGGATAATAATAAACCTGGATAATAATTAACCTGGATAATAATAAACCTGGATAATAATAAACTTAAATAAGTTAAACTTACCACTGGATGATAATAATAAACTAGTTAAACTTACCACTGAGAGTAAGATGGATGATGATGATAATAAACTTTGTTGTCATCTGATGTATATTTATATGTATCATCTCTGTTATATTATATCTCCTTATTTATATCTCCCTTGTATTAAAATATATTCATAATATATCTTTAATACTATTTGCTATCTTAAAACACAATTAAATTGGTTTATTTGGTTTAATTTGTGTTATTTATATGAGGGTTATTTATCTTGATTTATTCCCTTATATTTAAAAATAAATTTATCTCGTTCTATATACACTGAGATATATATATATTTCAATGTATATATATAATATCCTTCGTATTTATTTAATTTTAAATGTATTTTATACACACTCTCTCTGTTGACTTGCAGCTTGTATTGATGATTGAAGCCCCATACCCATCCTGTGGGTGGTTGATGACCCGTACCCATCCTGTGGGTGGTTGATGCCCCATACCCATCTTGTGGGTGGTTGATGCCCCATACCCATCCTGTGGGTGGTTGATGACCCATACCCATCCTGTGGGTGGTTGATGATCCGTACCCATCTTGTGGGTGGTTGATGCCCCATACCCATCCTGTGGGTGGTTGATGCCCCATACCCATCCTGTGGGTGGTTGATGATCCGTACCCATCTTGTGGGTGGTTGATGACCCATACCCATCCTGTGAGTGGTTGATGCCCCATACCCATCCTGTGGGTGGTTGATGCCCCATACCCATCCTGTGGGTGGTTGATGACCCATACCCATCCTGTGGGTGGTTGATGCCCCATACCCATCCTGTGGGTGGTTGATGACCCGTACCCATCCTGTGGGTGGTTGATGCCCCATACCCATCTTGTGGGTGGTTGATGCCCCATACCCATCCTGTGGGTGGTTGATGACCCATACCCATCCTGTGGGTGGTTGATGATCCGTACCCATCTTGTGGGTGGTTGATGCCCCATACCCATCCTGTGGGTGGTTGATGCCCCATACCCATCCTGTGGGTGGTTGATGACCCATACCCATCCTGTGGGTGGTTGATGACCCGTACCCATCCTGTGGGTGGTTGATGATCCGTACCCATCTTGTGGGTGGTTGATGACCCATACCCATCCTGTGAGTGGTTGATGCCCCATACCCATCCTGTGGGTGGTTGATGCCCCATACCCATCCTGTGGGTGGTTGATGACCCATACCCATCCTGTGGGTGGTTGATGCCCCGTACCCATCCTGTGGGTGGTTGATGCCCCATACCCATCCTGTGGGTGGTTGATGCCCCATACCCATCCTGTGGGTGGTTGATGACCCATACCCATCCTGTGGGTGGTTGATGACCCATACCCATCCTGTGGGTGGTTGATGATCCGTACCATCTTGTGGGTGGTTGATGACCCATACCCATCCTGTAGGTGGTTGATGATCCGTACCCATCCTGTGGATGGTTAATAACCCATACCCATCCTGTGGGTGGTTGATGACCCATACCCATCCTGTGGGTGGTTCATGACCCATACCCATCCTGTGGGTGGTTGATGATCCATACCCATCTTGTGGGTGGTTGATGACCCGTACCCATCCTGTGGATGGTTGATGACCCATACCCATCCTGTGGGTGGTTGATACCCCATACCCATCCTGTGGATGGTTGATGACCCATACCCATCCTGTGGATGGTTGATGACCCGTACCCATCCTGTGGGTGGTTGATGACCTGTACCCATCCTGTGGATGGTTTATGACCCATTCCCATCCTGTGGGTGGTTGATGACCCATACCCATCCTGTGGGTGGTTGATGACCCATACCCATCCTGTGGGTGGTTGATGATCCGTACCCATCCTGTGGGTGGTTGATGACCCATACCCATCCTGTGGGTGGTTGATGATCCGTACCCATCCTGCGGGTGGTTAATGACCCATACCCATCCTGTGGGTGGTTGATGATCCGTACCCATCCTGTGGATGGTTCATGACCCGTACCCATCCTGTGGGTGGTTGATGCCCCATACCCATCCTGTGGGTGGTTGGTGATCCGTACCCATCCTGTGGATGGTTGATGACCCGTACCCATCCTGTGGGTGGTTGATGACCCGTACCCATCCTGTGGATGGTTGATGACCCGTACCCACCCTGTGGATGGTTGATGACCCATACTCATCCTGTGGATGGTTGATAACCCATACACATCCTGTGGGTGGTTGATGACCCATACCCATCCTGTGGGTTATTGATGCCACATATGCATCATGTAGGTGGTTGATGTCCTATACCATCCTGTAGGTTGATGCCCCATACACATCCTGTGTGTTATTGATGCCTCATACCTATCCTGTGGGTGGTTGATACCATTGTACCCATCCTGTGGGTTAGTGATGCCCAATACCCAGTCTGTGGTTAGTAATAACCACATACCCATACTATGTGTGGCCCAGTGTCCTGGTGGCTAAAGCTCCCGCTTCACACACGGAGGGCCCGGGTTCGATTCCCGGCGGGTGGAAACATTTCGACACGTTTCCTTACACCTGTTGTCCTGTTCACCTAGCAGCAAATAGGTACCTGGGTGTTAGTCGACTGGCGTGGGTCGCATCCTGGGTGTTAGTGGACTGGTGTGGGTCGCATCCTGGGTGTTAGTGGACTGGTGTGGGTCGCATCCTGGGTGTTAGTCGACTGGTGTGGGTCGCATCCTGGGTGTTAGTCGACTGGTGTGGGTCGCATCCTGGGTGTTAGTCGACTGGTGTGGGTCGCATCCTGGGTGTTAGTGGACTGGTGTGGGTGGCATCCTGGGTGTTAGTGGACTGGTGTGGGTCACATCCTGGGTGTTAGTGGACTGGTGTGGGTGGCATCCTGGGTGTTAGTGGACTGGTGTGGGTGGCATCCTGGGTGTTAGTGGACTGGTGTGGGTGGCATCCTGGGTGTTAGTGGACTGGTGTGGGTGGCATCCTGGGTGTTAGTGGACTGGTGTGGTGGCATCCTGGGTGTTAGTGGACTGGTGTGGGTGGCATCCTGGGTGTTAGTGGACTGGTGTGGGTGGCATCCTGGGGGACAAGATTAAGGACCACAATGGAAATAAGTTAGACAGTCCTCGATGACGCACTGACTTTCTTGGGTTATCCTGGATGGCTAACCCTCCGGGGTTAAAAATCCGAATGAAATCTTATCTTATCTTATGGACATTAATTGCCCCATTATGATGCGACCCACACCAGTCCACTAACACCCAGGATGTGACCCACTACACATCAGTACACAACACAACACTACACATCAGTACACAACACTACACATCAGTACACAACACAACACATCAGTACACAACACTACACATCAGTACAAAAACACTACAACATCAGTACACAACACTACACATCATACACAACACAACACATCAGTACACAACACTACACATCAGTACACAACACTACACATCAGTAACAAAACACTACACATCATACACAACACATACACATCATTACACAACACTACACATCAGTACAAAACACTACACACATCAGTACACAACACTACACTCAGTACACAACACTACAAAAAACAGTACACAACACTACACATCAGTACACAACACATCACTAATGATCACTACTACACTACCATACAACACAAACCATACATCCCACCATACAACACTACTATCATGCCCACCATACATCACTATCCTCATTACCCCATCACTAAAATTCATCACTACCTCATAAACTCCCCTTTAAACACTAATTCTTTCACTATCCTCATCACTACCCTTATCACTATCCTCATCACTACCCTCATCACTACCCTTATCACTACCTTCATCACTATCCTCATCACTACCCTTATCACTATCATCACTATATTCATCACTACACTTATTACTACCTTCACCATCCTGGTCATCACCCTCATCACTATCCTCATCACTACCCTCATCACTATATTCATCACTACACTTATCACTACCTTCATCACTATCCTGGTCATCACCCTCATCACTATCCTCATCACAAACCCCTCAATCACAATTCATCACACACTTATCACTACCTTCCATCACTATCCTGGTCATCACCCTCATAAACTATCTTCATCACTATCCTCATCACTATATTCATCACTACTTATCACTACCTTCATCACTATCCTGGTCATCAACCTCATCACTATCCTTATCACTACCCTCGTATCATTGTCCTCATCACTACTATGGCTCACCATACCAATAATGTCTTTATTATTTTTAAAGTCCTTAACCTGGACTATCACACAGACAGACTCCATTATATAATTTATTATACTATCACCTCAACTAAAATCAGTCCTTTCATTTAAAAAATAATAATATCTTCTTAAAAAATTTAAAAATAAAATTTTCAATTGTGAAAATATTTCCCCATATATTTTTTTTGGTCTTCTTCAGTGGATGTAGTTTTTGCTTGGTTACACGAGTGATAGGCCCAGAAGGATTGATTTCAATGAAAGAGAGCATCCAGGTCGAAATCATAATCTTGGGTTTCCTGTACAGACTCTGGCTTTGTGTCAAAGTTGACAGGTGGAAGTTGTTTCTCCTACAGGATTTGGTGGTTTGTCAGGGAAAAGAACTCCTCAATGAAGGTCTCCAGTTCTTTCTGTTCTTTTTGGGGGTTTGTCAGGGAAGAAAGCTCCCCCAAGAAGGCCTCCTTTTTCTTTCTGTTCTTTTTGGGTGGTTTGTCAGGGAAGAGAAGCTCCTCATGAAGGTCTCCTGTTCTTGCTGTTTCTTTTGGTGGTTTGTCAGGGAAGAGAACCCCTGAATGAAGGTCTCCTGTTCTTGCTGTTCTTTTGGTGGTTTGTCAGGGAAGAGAAGCCCTTGAAATGAAGGTCTCCTGTTCTCGCTGTTCTTCTGACTCGCTGCTGCTCCCCGTAGAAACTATAAAGTTGTTTAAGTTTAAATTTCTTAATCAAGAAAACATTGTCAGTAAATTTGTTTTCTGACTTGTGACCTTGTTAGATTCCTCCTCAGTCTGTACTTCTGGTTCAGTTGTGGAAGGTGGCAGTTCCTTGTCACTGCTTGAATCTTTCCCCACCTTCCTCTCCATTCTTTTTTCTTC